GAATATTCTTAGTTTATATACTAATATGTTCAAATATAAAGGGAGAATCCACCAAGGGGTTGTTTCATACAATTTCCCAGTATGTTGAAAAAGTCATTTTGTCTCATTAATAGCAATTGGCTACTGAATGGTTTACTTTTAAATAAGAATTTTTTAAAAAGTTAAAAATTAAAAAAAAATCTGACCAGCTTATTCTTTTTATCTGTTGTCAAAATATCTTTTGAAATTCAATACTGAATATTGAACTTTTTATTTTGAAACTCTTTTTAGTTTCTCTTTGTTTATACATTTGTGGATTTATATTCTGTTTATCTGTATTTAAGCAGATAATATTCCGTATTCCTGAATTTTATTTAAAAAAAGAATGCAATTGCCTTATCCAGTCAATAATACTCTTTAGAACATATTTCCATTTAAATACAATTGCACACCAATACATAATGTAGCTAAATGACAGAGAAATTAAATATTCGATTGCTTGACAGAAGTACCTTTAAAGATGCTAACTTAAGAATGGTCAGGTGGGTTCTTTTTAACTTTACACTAGTAATTCACATGCTTCTTTAGCATCTAGAGTATCTGGATTTCCTTTCTCATTAGTATTGTTGCAGAATATACTTAGCAAAAATGAGGAATGAAAGAGGGGTGGATTAAATCAATTGTAAAAGACCATTTAATTTTGAATGATAGGGAACCTTTCTTCAACCTTCAAAAGAAAAAAATAATAGAATTAAATACTGAAAGAAAAAAACTTGATTAAACTCAAATAATAATGACATTGCAACAACAAAGCAGTATTTCATTTCCATGTTTTTACTGTGTGTTTATCAAACTTTGGATTTCAACCAATTTATTATAGTATAACTGAAATCGCTTATAGGAAGATTTGCTATTCTCTGCCATGATTACAATCTCAAGTGAATATCAAAAACCTAAGTGAGTAAAAAAACCATGTCTTTTCACAAATACAAAAGTTAAAAGCAAATATTATTGAAAAGATTCAATTTTTTTACAAAAAATATTGTTCAGGGATATACAAGGCTATTAAAGATTTTAAAAAAACCCATTCCATTCTAGAGTTTCAGACTCTCTCTTTCTCTCTCACCTTTAGGAGAAGAATTGCTTCAGCCGAAATGTTAGTTTCCTTTGGTTGGATTATTAAAATTAAGTTGACCAAAGAAGTCAAGTGTAAAATATTTATATTTAATAATGTATGCAACATATCTGTCTGGAATTAATTTCCAATTAGTGCTTTCTTTCTCATGAGCATATCCATGGAAATGTAAGAAAACACACTGTGCATGTAGGAAAAAAGGTAAAGGTTTAATTCTAACGGATGGCATAAGTTTTGCTTGGTATTTTATAAAATACCACTAAATAAATGGCCTTCTGTTTAGTTGGAACTTGGGTGATCCATTCCCTGGTACCTCTAATTAATTCAGTTATCTCTAAAGTGCAGTCAACTCTAGTTTGTGCATTATTATGAAGGAATGTGTGTGTGAATGGATAACAGTCCAAAGTCTCTGTTCCTAATATATAGGCTTACTTGGCTTCTAATAGGAACCTGTCCAGCCTACTTCTTTCAGTTTTCATGCCCTCACATAACCCAGTCCTATAGAAATAGCTACTGAAGAAATATCAATTAGAGAAAAAAGGGAAGAAACCACTGAAGCTTGCTTGTTATTGGACAAAGCTTCTGTCCCATGTAGAGATAAAATGAAAGAGAATGGTTATTTCAACAAGGCAATCAATGTAATGACCTCTTTATAGCAATAATTTAATGGCAATTTGCCAGCTTTGTCAGTCACCTATGCAAAGTATTGCTGTGTTTGGGACCTGTAGAATAAGTGGCATATGCAAAAAAATAGACAAGGTAGCACAATAAAAAAAGGCCTTAAATAATTATAATAGTAAAAATGAAAATTTCCACAAATATTTTTATTTTGATTAGTATCTTTTAGAGGCAGCTAAATATTTTGAAGGGGCCACCGTACCAGATATAAATGAGATTTAACCTAATACTTTCTATTACTTAGTGCTCTTTTACTCAAATGTAAAGATAGCATATTTAGCAGAATTATACAGACAATTTTCCTTTCTTTCTATTCTTGCTCCTCCTTCCCTTTGCTAGATAAGAGTATCACTCTCCTCTGTGCCAAGTGTTTCCTATAATTCCTCCCCTGTGACATTTATACTTTCAACATAACCTCAACAAAATAAAGCAAAAACAACCCTTTTCCCCAAAAATAAAAGAAAAAAGTTGAACAATTCTTATACTCTCTGTCTCTCATTGTCTTTTTCTCTGTACATATATTGTACTATATTGCATGCATGCTAATCCTACTATAAGTGTTTGGTGCATAGTATAAGTGTGGATATACTGATGTGGCTTTGTGTGTGGACTGTATCCACAAGAATGTATTGTACTACATTTAAAATATATATTAAAAGGGATGTGTATTAAATGGACTAAACAACAATTGCGGTCCCTATAAAGGGCAGGATTGCACTCATAAGCCTGGCCCTGGCATTCTCCCGACTTCTCTCCAGCACAAAGTAATGACCTGAGTAAAATTCAATATGACCGAGAGAGCTATGCAAGCGTATTATAGAAATGCAAGGGGGAGAGCCCGGGAGTGGGGTGAAACTCAGGTCAGCGCGTCTAACAAATATTAAAATGTTGGAGGCGCTCGGGACACGCCTAGCTGTTTAACAAAGACTGACAAACTATGGAGATTAATACGAAAACTTGCCGGTATCCAAATCGAAAAGGCTCAGTTAGGCCTAAGGCTGCTTGAAAGCTAGTAGCCAAACATACTATAAGACTTAAAAGCTGAAAGAAAGAAAGAAAGAAAGAAAGAAAGAAAGAAAGAAAGAAAGAA